ATAAGTCTACACCTTGTAAGCTTTTCTCTATCAAATAAAAATTTCATAAGAATAAAATTTTAAATGTCATTCTGGTTTTTTGTTTAGTCATAAAGGGGTAAATAGACATTTTCCTATCTCTTTATATTGATTTTGCAATTGAAATTGAGATATACTTTTGCATTTGATTTAAAATTTTAGGTTGTTTTTAACAAATGTCTCTAAAATATGGATTATTGACTTACTACCAAAAATGTTTCTATATCCTTTTTTGTGGAGAAATGTTTATATATCTCAATGAAGAAACCCTTGCACTTACTTGCAAGTCTTGTACGCAGAAGTTTGAGTTGCGTATAGTTGGTAACTTTTTAGTTCGGTGAATGATTTAACCATTTTTCTTGGATTGGGGTGATACTAATAATACACTAACACTGTATTTCTCCCAGTTTCAAAATAATATTCCCTCCATTCTTTCATAAATGACACTCTACACTTTTCACATCAAATAATATTTTTGATACAATTCCTTTACTATTTTCTAAATCTGGGCAAAATATTCGGATGCAAAGAACCGACCCAAAACCGACTAAAAATCAGGATTCTAAACCCATTCGGACCCGGAATAAATAACAAAATGGGTCATAAATTGCTATATCCGAAGAACTGGTCCCGAATTAGATCCAAACCGAGAAAAAAACGAGTATCCAAAATATCTGAAATGTAAATATATATCTGAAAATATTATTTATAATTATACTTATAATTATTTTAATAATTTATATTTAAAATTAAATAGGTTAGTTATTTGTTTTAGTATTTTTAGATAAAATATGATATTTCTTATAGAAAATATTCAAACAAAACTGTGTCTAACGAGTATTTTTGGTTATGTCTAGGTAAAATAAATAGTTTTGATACAATATCCGAACCATACTGGGTAATATAGTTATTTTGGCTATATAATCGACCCCGTTTCAAATACATTGGTTATTTAGTTATTTTTTTTGGTTCCTATATATCAGACCTGACCCACCTGGATTTGGGAGGACCCAACTCAAACCCGACCCGTAAATTTATAATACTCAAACGGCTCCTGGATTCAAAACACAAAAAAACCTGATATCCAAAAAAACGATCTGTATCCGAACGAGTATCTGAATACCCAGACCTATTATCCTCTTTCACTAATTGACGTAAAAAGTAGGTAAATTAAATTTGTTAACTAGAAAAAAATAGTACTCTCTCCTTTTCAATTTATTTATCATTTTGAATTTTTACACACAAATTAAAGAACATTTATTTTTTCATATTTTTTTAAAAAACATAATTTCTTATACACCTAACAACATTTTAACAAATAAAAAATAGAAAAATAAATTTTGTAATGTAACTATAAAACAATATTTATTTTGAAACAAAAAAATTACTCTACAACGACAACAAAATTGGAACATAGAAAATATAAAAGAAAAAAATCATTATCATTATATTTTACCTAGTTATCCGGAGAGGTCATCCTGGAACAAAATATCAATTCCAAAAACAAATATTTATTTATCTTAGTAAATATAATATTAATAAATATATTATTTTATGTAATGAATTGATTCTTCACTCAATGTCTTTGAAATTCAAAATTTACCGTTATTATATGCATTGAAAATGTAAAATATAAATTTTTAGAAAATTTTTTTCTTTTCCTAAAGATAAATCATTCTGAAATATAAGAAGTATTATATATTTTGTTTATAAGTGAAGAATCTATCACATCTTCACAGAAACACATTAATGAAAGTTTCTTGGGAGAATTTCAATTATACCACTTTGGTGGTACCACTTTTCATATTTACCATCAATAAAGGAACATTTTCAAAAATACACATTTTATTAAAGGATAAAAGACTCTTATATCATTATTCTTTATATTTATACATAAAATAAATATTAAATAAAATATTAACCTTAAACCCTAATACATTAATTCTAAACTCTAGACCCTAAAAAGTAAACCCTAAACCCTAAAAATCAACCCTAAACCCTAAAATATCAATTCTAAACCTTAAACCCTAAACTCTAAACCCTAAAAAGTAAACCCTAAAAAGTAAACCCTAAACCCTAAAAAATCAACACTAAACCCTAAACTATCAATCCTAAACCCAAAACTCTAAACCCTAAATTCTAATAGTATTTTGAGTATTAAAATTTTAGTGATAAAGTTGGTTAGTGTAAAGTTGAAAAGTGGTATCTTGAAAGTGTTATTTCTGGCAATTTCTCAAGTTTCTTAGAAAATTCTAATTTACCACAAACATAAGAGATTTGAAATTTGACAAATACATTGTATTTTTTAAAAAAATTGAAATCTACACTTGTACATATGTGATAAGACTATTTTAACCAACATTTTAATATACAAAAATAAAATCTGGCTTCTTAGTATTCTAATTAATTTAGTTTAGATAAAAATAATTATTATTAAGATACTTAATTTTTTAATTTCAAAACTTCGAAGATTATCTCCAGAAAAATCGGTTAAAAATATGCAGATAAGATAACAAAATATTGGCATCTATCTACGTATCTAGAATTTTAATTCGTTCTAAACAATGTTTCATAGTGCATTCATGATCTGCTGGAAATTCAGAATATTGACACCACGACTTAGCGAGGTTCATTATTTTCAGCTATTGGACCATTACTTCATCATTTTTTTTGGAGGTTCATCATGCTCTTGAATGAAAACAAGGAAGTTTTTAGTGATAAACTGCCAATGGCTCTTATATTTCCGATCTGAAAGACTCGTTTCTTTTATTCAATGTTATCATTAATCCTTGTGATATACATGTTTGTGTCTTGTTCACTTTCGATAAATCTAGGTTGCTACACATGGAAGCTATTTCATGCCAGTAAGACGACCATATACATTTTACTTGGTAACAAGATAGATAAATATGTTCACAAGACCACAACCATATAGATACAAAAGAGAAATAGACACCTGGACTTATCTAAATTAGAGAAGAAACAGATAGAACTTTGTATTAAATTTTAGTTTTAAGAGTACACAGAAATATACATATAAGCATTTCTGTATAATTGAATATCATCGATATTTAAAACTGTTTTTATTTATTTAATTGTAATTTAAATAATAATTTTGATAGTAGTATTAAAATTAATGTAATTGTTACTTAGTTTAGTTTAGTCATGTTACTTACAAATAAATTTATTTTTCAAAAATAACAAATAAATGATGTAGTATCTTATTGGAAGGTATTTTTCTAAAATTTCTCCAAAGTTAATATCAATTTTCAAATTTACTTTTAAATTACTGCTATTTTATAAATATTTTAAATTATGACAAAAATTAAACTAACTCTCAAAAATTATTAATAAATATATAAAAACTATCACTAGTTTTCCATTTTTTAAAAAAGATTTGTCGATGCAATGGTAACAAAATCCCAGCATTTATGTGCAAATATGTTTGTAAATCCCCTAGTGTGTTCCCAAGAAAATAAGCGCACCCCCTAGTTTTTTGTTTCTTACCTTTATTAATTTCTTAGATTCCCAAATAAATCTACTTTATAGGTGAAACAGCAATACAACTCCTCTGGGACCTGACAACACTGATTATTCCCACTCCCGTTTAACCTTTTTATCCTCTTTCTTTTGGCTTTTTCTTCGTAACCTATTTTAATTCCTTAATCATGATTTTCATGGAATAAATTAAATTATATTCAAAATCAACCCCTTTGTCATGCTTTAACCCAACCACAATATCGAAATTTCATAGGGTGACGTATTTCTCTACTATCAATAAAACCATTGTATAGTCTCTAAGAGCAAGTGTGAAATACTTACTCAAGTTGGAATTTTAGTATTTATGTTGATATATTAGTCATAGATTAGCCTCCAATTTTCCATCTCTCTAGTCAAGTTGATTTGGTTTTCATTTGATCATTTCATTAATAACACATTTCATGCTTCTGCTTCGGAGAACTTCTTTCATGAATTGCAATTATTCTATTTTGAAATTCAACATTAAGTTCCACTATAGTGTAAAGAGTCTCTTCGAGTAAAACCAATATTAATTCTAACAACAATTACAATTCAGGTCATGACTGTACAATTGAATAGTAGAGTCCGTATACATAACAACAATTACAATTCAGGTCTCTTCTTTTGGTAATAAAGTTCTGTGCTTCTTCGAAAACTGCACATAGTTATTACGCCATCCTGTTGACATATATATTCTGATAAATCTTTAAAACATGTAACTATAAGAAAATGGATTAGATAAGGCTTACCATAGTTATATGTCCAATCAGAACGTTAATATTTAGACATAAGTGTCTGATCCATGATATCCAATCAATTTAGAATTGACTCAGTCCAAAATTATTCTCACATCAAAAATTGAAATGAATTATAAACTATAGAAATTTTCTAGAATAGATATAAAAATGTTTTTGTCACAACTATATAACTTAAAAATAAAAATTACCAAAATAAATTTAAATGTTTTATCAAAAACAAATAAATGTATCTTTTTGGTTAATTAATCCCAGACCTTTTGGTTTAAAGTTGATTTTTGGAGATAGGACTTCAACTTTTAAAAAATAAAAAGAAAAATTTAAAATTTTCAAAATAAAAAAATACTATTTTAGTCATTTTAGTTCTTAAGGTCTATTTTTATGATCAAAATTTAAAATATATATTTGAAAGAATTATCCTTATAACTAATATACATCAATTTTCTGTCAGCACTAATTTGTTTTAATTAAGATATCCATCTAATTTAATAATAAATGGTTATGTACTTTTAGATGCTTGTAGTTGAAAAAAAAAACTGATCTAATTGCTAGAAATTATATCATGTAACTAACAGATGATAATAGCTACAATTTTTGTAGTTCACACTAAAATAAAATAAAAACACTCTTCACAAGTTCACATTCTCATCTCCCTCTCCACATGCTCTCTAACGAAGGCCTAAGAGCCTTCGCCGCATCTTTTGGATCTCACTTAGATTCTGGTGGAACCTTCTTACCGTTGCATAACCATTCTAACAATCCACTCAATCCTTCCCGCTGCTTCTCACGACGTTTCTTGTTTCTCAAGTCATCCTTCACCACCTTCTCAAACTCAAGAAACGAATCTAGGTCAGGCAACATGTCCTCCTCCATATATTTTCCCTCGAACCTGTTTATTTTCTCGTTTAAAACCCAAGACCCCTTTTCAGCGTCGCGTTTGCGTTTGATTAAACGGTTATCGATCAAGAACGTTTCAAACTCCTCTTTGAGAGACTCGTGACCACGTAACATCTCGCGGAGCTGTTCAACCAGAATCTCGTTGTCACCGGAAAACGCTAACGCATGGATAAAAGCTTTGTAATCAACACTCTCTCCCAAAGCTTCAATTTTCTGCAAGAACGCAACCGAGCGTTTCAGTTCTGATATTGGGTTCTCTTTCTCGGAATGGTTTCTTGCGGGGGAAGCAAAATACGACAAAAGCTGACGATACTCTTTGAACAAATCTCTGTTTCTACGGAGAGTGTAAAAGAGTTCGCGTTTGAGTTGGATGTAGGTTATAGAGTCAGATAGATAACGCTGCGTTACACCGACGTATCGACGGTTGAGTTTTTTATCATCTGTCTCTTGCAGTTTCTTCAAGAACTCGGAGATTCGTTGAATCTCTTCATCCGAACAATTAGTTGGAGTTTGATAAAACAAGTCTCTCCCCTGACTTTTTGTTGGTCTCATGATTGATTGTTGTTGGTTTCTCGTCTCCTACTCTGGCTAATCGGCTTTAAATTTTATGATGAATGAAGAGCAGATAACAATGCTGTACTTATACTAGTAGCTAGGCTGCTAGGGGTACTTTCCTAGTCCTATTTGTATAAGTATTTGATCAAATAGATTCCTTTTTACGTTTTGAATAAAATTCGGATTATTTCATGATTTGTGGGAATAATTTTTTTATGAAGTTAAAAGGAGATTACAACAAATGAAAAAAAGGAAATATGCAGTTTTCAAAGCTTTATTACTGTCGATTTCTCCTTATGAACGTTGTAGTTTGTTAATTAAATCCAATGTTTTTATCATCTTAATAAAGACAAAATAAATAGAATATTATAATATAATACTAATATTATTAAAAGCCAGAAAAACATTAAAAGATAAACATAGTCAAAAATACACAAAGCTTAAAACTGTCATAATAAATCAAGCCAAACCAAACCAAACCAAACCATGTCTCGGAATCTATTACATAAGTAAGTCTAAACAACGACAAAAGTAGGAAACGAAAGTCTTCGGGGGAATGTTGTAAAAAGGAGTGAATCTATGGAACGTTCATGACCTGGATGGATTGCAACATGTCAGAGACAGCGACCACGAGGTCTCCAGATTTGATCATACCTCTCGATTTCAGCAACGAGAATGTTTTGTTCAAGTTGCTTTCCATGTCCTCTGAGAAGCTTAAACGGAATGGGATAAGCCCCCATTGTAGGTTTAAGCGTCTCCTCACCGAAGTTGTGTTCGTGAAAGCAAAGATGGGACAGTCAGGGCGACACCGTGAGACTAGAGACGCCATGTGCCCGTTCTTCGTGTAGACGAAAACTGCGTCGACTCCGAGGTTGTTAGCTGCAAGTTTTCTAAAGTGAGAATCCAAAACGAGAGCTTTGTTTTTGAAAGGTACAAAGAAGATGAAAGCATTACCCATTTTAGCAGCAGAGTTACAGATCTCTTCAGAGATTTTGTCTGAAAAAGCAGATCCTATAGCTGGAAGTGGTGTAGCCTCATAGCGTTTCTCTTCCCTCCACCATCTTTCGATTCTTAGACTTACACTCCTAAGAACCGTGAGAGCCTTGTCCGGGAACTGACCCATTGCTGATTCTCCAGAGAGCATCAACGCGTCTGATCTTTGTCTTACTGCTTCAGAAACGTCTGCTACTTCTGCTCTGGTTGGAGTTGGGTACTCAATCATGGACTCGAGTAGCTGCGAGGCGACAATGACGGGTCTGTTAAGGGCTCTGCAGACTTTGACGATTCTCTGTTGAGCTGCTGGAACTTGCTCAAGAGGTATCTGAGCCCCCAGGTCACCTCTTGCAACCATGGCTCCATCTGAAGCTAGGATGATTTCCTCCAAGTTTGTTAGTGAGTCGATACTCTCGATCTTTGCAATCACTCCTATGTCTCTGTATCAAATAAAGTAAAGATGGTAAATACAAAATGTAGTAAAACACAACTCTTGAATAAACAGTGGTGGGATGTGTTGCTAAATGAGTATATTTACTTACCCTCCACCGGAACGAGCAGCAAGGTAACTTTTAAGATGATTAATAACTTCAGCAGACTTGACAAAGGATACAGCAATGAAGTCCACACCTTCAGCAATTCCAAAATCAATATCCAACCAGTCCTGAAAACAAAGACATTGAAGAACAATAAGCGAAAAAAGCTTATATCTTCCATCTGTGGAGATATTCTACATGTTCACAGTATTAGTCAGGAGCTACAATAAACTTTTGCACACAATGATATAGCATTATATTAGTTTTTTTAAGAGCTCTGTTTTGCTAACATGCATGTATAGCAGGGAATAGCCTGTTCATGTGTTTCCTAACTGAAAGTAATAAAGACGACAAAAAGATGCATCTAGGTCCTAAAAGTGTACATCTTCTACAATTTTTGAATCAAGAAATCAAAAGTAACATAAAAAAGGTTCAAACCTTGGAGGAAATGGTAGGAAGCATAGCGTTACGCTCACGTACAAGACTCCCATCTCTCCAAAAAGTCAAGTTAGCTCGAGGAAGCAACAACCCAGGGTCAGTACATAAACACTTGACATCAGGACCAATCTTCTCAATAACTTCAAATCTAACCATTCCACCATCAACAAGAAGCTCATCACCAACTCTTACATCTACATCACAAAAAAAAAAAAAAAAAATTCCCATCTCATACTCACATCCACTTGATGATTCATAACAAAAAAAATAATACTATCATATACACTCCACTGCTTAGGGGCGCATTTGAATACCCGGAGAATGGGTTTATCCGTGGATTGCACTTTCCCATTGGGCCGCCCGGAATACCCCAAAGGTTAATAAAAAAAAGGATAAATATAAATACCTTCAGCGAAACCATCATAACTGACACTGATAGTACGTTCAGGACGAGAAGCATCAAAAGCTCTAACAGTAAACGTCCAAACCTCACCATCCTACACCAAAACGCCATCGTATTAAACAACATGCATAATCATCATCAAGATTCAAATATTACTAAGACAGACAAACAAACAAACAAACCTCTGCTTTAGCCGAGGCATCACCGCCAAGATCTCCCATATGAATCTCACTCCCTTCAGTATCCATCATGATCGCAACCGCGAATCCTTTCTCCTCGTTAAGCCTCCTCACGCTCCGTATAACGCCCCGGTGCCAATCGCGAGTTCCGTGGCACATGTTAAGCCTCGCCACGTTCATGCCTCCTTCGGCAAGCGCCTCGAGTTGATCGAACCCGCACGTGGCGGGTCCGATCGTGCAGATCAGCTTGGTTCGTCTCGTGCTTCGGAAGCCGTTCTCCTTGAGCTCGGCTTCGGTTACTGTATCGACGTCAATTCCGGTGGATTTATCGTCTGGTTTGACGGCGGGAGTGCCGTTGGGAGAGTGGAGAAGGGAGGGAGAGGAGGAGGAGGAGGAGGAAGAGGAGTCGGGAGAGGAGGAAGCTCGGAGTCGGAGTGAGGTGTGGTTGAGGGTGGAGGTGAGAGGGAATGGGCGGAAGGAGAAGGAAGAGAGGGGACGGTGGAGAGGTGTGTGAGGGAGGTGGAGAGTGCGTGAAGGAGTGGAGAATTGGATTGAGTGAGACATTGTAGAGAGAGAGAGCTCCGTGAGATCGGAGAAATCGAGAGAGATTGTTGTTGAAGAAGGAAGCAGGCGGATATAACGAAGTGAAGAGTGTACAATATGATAGGAGTTGTTAGTGAGGGTTAAAATCGGAATATACCAATGTGGGAGTGTTTTTTCTTTGTGTTCTGTCTTTTGCTTTTTTTTTGTTTCCTTTTCTGAGGAGATCCGATCCATATTGCTGATCAAAGTAACATTAATCCCCGGAATCATAGCTGATAGAAAACATAATTTCTTTCCTGAAATAAATAAGTTACAAATTGTTTGATGTTTTAAAATCATTTATGTTTTTAATCGATGTTGAGAAAATGATTTTAGGATGGAATTAGATTGAAATTTGGAGGTAAACAAACAAGCCACTAGAAATCTTTAGTTTTGGTGGAGAAAACACTTATAAAGGGGTTCTAGCTATTAGAGTATTAAAATGAATATGTATATATGTGTATACAGCATATACATATAAGGGTCAGATGTGGTTCTGAAAGGCGTTCTTTATGACATCTCGATGTTGGCTCGCTCTTTCACCTCTATCTCTTTTAAGTTCATCTCGCGTTTAGCAAATGTACAAGCTGACTTAATCGCTAAAGCAGCTTTAATCTCCCTTTCATCCTCTGCAATGGTTGTAGAATGACTTATGTTTCTTTAATCTAATCTCTGTTTTGACCAAAAAAAAAAAAAGAATTTTTTTAGGATAGATTTAAAAACTTTTTGTTACAAATATACTTCATCCGTTTCAAAAAGATGAACATTCTACAAATAATATTTGTTTCAAAAAGATGTATTTTTTACATTTTCAATATATAATTTAATAAAAAGTTATAGATTCTGAAAAATCTAATTGTGTTTTTTAAAATTCTATTAGTTAAAAAATATAGGGATTTGTTATCTAAATAAATGATGCATTGGTAATCAAAATTTTATGTTTTTTCTTAATACGTGTGAAAAAACTAAAACGTTTAACTTTTTGAAACGAAGTGAGTATCAAAAATAAGTAAATATACACTTATACATTTTGGGTTAACTAATTCTAAACTTTTTTGTTTAGAGTTGACGAGTGAAATTTTTTGTTTAGAGTTAAGGAGTGAGATTTTAAAAATAAAAATAATCAAAATAAATTTAAATGCTTTAACAAAAATAAAATATACACTTATATTTTTTGGGTTAACTAATTCTATATTTTTTTTGTTTAGAGTTGAGGAGTGAGATTTTGGGGATAAAATTTTAAAAAAAAATTTTTTTAAAAAAAACCTTAAAATTTTCAAATATATTTTGTGATAAAAACCTAAAAAGGTTATATTTGAAAGAATTACCCAATATACATATATTTATTTTAAGAATTTCAATGGATAAAACTTTTATTGGAGGTGCTCTAAAACTTTTAAAAAAAGTATATGCTGTCGACTATTGATAACATGTTTTTTTGGTAAAAGGTTAACTATTGGTGACATGTTTCTTCTGGTAACTTACCTTTTGATTCGGAAAAACCAAAATTTCATAGGCAAGACAAAAACGTATAATCTCTCAAAAATAACAGAGTCCATAAATAAATGCTTAACATTATGATCAATCTTCTACAGTAAGTCAGTAACTTTACGATGGAATGGTGAGGTTTGAAGTGATTGAGAAGATTAGCTATAATTGTTTTTTTTTTGTTTAACGTGAATATTTCATTCATATGAAATAATTCAGACTAGTGGTTTGAGTATTAAAATATGCATAGTTTTGAATGTTTATGTATTAAAATGAGCAAAATAAAAAATTTGGATACTAAAGCTTAGCAAAATTTAATTAAAGTATGTTTATGGAAATTTAACTCTTCTAAATGTCGTAGTGAAAATCTTCTCCGTAAATAATTTGGATTTTATGGTGTCTATGGAAATGTAGGAATGACTTGATTTTCAATTCTAAATTGTGGTCTCTAGGTGTTCTTCAGGCTAAAGTGACAGATGACATTGCAGAGTGGCATAGATTCAATCAGATTCCGACAACAACAACTAGAGGCCATAGCAATGGTACTAATGAACAGGCGATCAAGACTTGGCAACCACCACCGGTAGATTGGGTGAAATGCAACTATGATGTCTCTAACCATGTAGGTTGTCAAGATTTCGGAATGGGTTGGATTATATGTAATCATCTGGGGATAGTTCTTTTGAAGTGGAATGGGTAGATATGAAAGTCGTAATATAGTAGAAGAAGGTGAACGTACTGCTTTGATTTGGGTTATGCAAGTAGCTTTCTCATTGGGTTATAGAAAAGTGATTTTCGAAGGAGATAATATACAAGTCACAAGATGTCTGCAGGGAACAAGCATTAATCTCAGACTGGATAATTACCTCTTGACTATTTCAGCTTGGAAATCTCAATTTGATAACATTGTGTTTGTCTATCGCAGCAGATCCTCAAAGACATGTGCGGATCTTTTAGCAAAAAAAGTCAGTAACATCTGAAACTGTATGGAGTATGAACCATATTTGCCCAAAATTTTTGTATTCTCATGTAATGACTGATCAATTGATATAAAATAAAACTTTAGCCGAAAAAGAAAAGAAAAACAAATTAGCTGAAATATCACATGAATACATGTAATGGATATCCACTTCTCCATTCTTCATGTATTGGGCTACATGAGGCCCAAAAGACTAATACCTTAAGGCACACGCATAAAATCTACTTCTTTCACTTCCAATCCGGACTCTTCCGATTTCTAGACAACTACGGTTAATCGCCGCCTACCTTCAACCTAGCCAAACCTAAACCCTTAGCCTGATTTTTCATCATCTTCTTCACTGTAAAAGATGCAAAACGATGAGGCTATATGGCACGATATCAGATACATACACTGCTATTATATGGCCGAGTACGTCTTTTTTTTTTTCCTCACTCTTTTGTGTTTGATTTTCCCAGAATATTATTATTTTTGCTTTGGTTTTACTTGTAGAATCGAAACAGGAATCTTCTGCAGAAACCCTTATAATGTAACTGGTATCTGCAGTCGAAGCTCTTGCCCTCTTGCCAACAGTCGCTATGCCACCATCCGTGACCACGATGGTAGTTTTGTTTGTGCCTAATTAGGATGTTCCAATGTTGTGATTTAATTACAAAGCATTCTCTGTGTTGTTGTTGTTGCTTTAGGAGTCTTTTATTTATATATAAAGACTATAGAGAGAGCTCACACGCCAAAGAACTTGTGGGAGAGAATTAAGCTGCCTAGAAACTATGAGAAGGCACTTGAACTCATTGATAAGCACTTGGTGAGAGCTCTGAGATTGATCCCTCCCTCCCTCTTCTTTTTCTTCCTCTTTCAGTTATGCTAATCTGTTATGATCATCTTCCGTTTCAGTTGCACTGGCCCAAGTTGTTGCAGCACATGGTTAAACAAAGGCTGACCAAAATGACCCAGATGCTTATTCGCATGAGAATACTTTCTCTCAAAATAAGGTCGATGTTTTTTTTTTGTTCTTGGTTGGTTTGATATGTTATAAGATTCACAATATGTCTTAAGCTTTTTTTGTTTTTTTTTTTGTTTTTGGAATCAAAGGGAGAAGATAATGTCTATGCCTATGTCTAGGAGGGAAATGAAAAGGGAGATTCGAAGAGAGGAAAAGACTGGAATAGCAGCGGTGTTGGATAAGGTCACAGTTTGTATGCCTCTTACTTTAGCTCTTAGATTCTCATGATATTTGCTGTTTATTTTTTTAACAGGCCATTGAAACCAAGTTGTTAGAACGTTTGAAGAAAGGTGACTACTACTCTGACATACTCAGTTACCTTGAAAAGAATGTTGAAGTTGAAGAAGAAGAGGAGGAGGAGGTGGTGCTCTTGTTTTTCTGTTTAAGCAGTCCATCAAACATTTAGATGCAGCTTTTTTGTACTGATGTTTCTTCATTAAACTAAATCGCAGGAGACAGAGATTGAATATGTTGAAGGCTATGGTGAACTTGAGAACGAGAAAGAAGATGATATTGAAGATTTTTATGGCTTCACATCTAAGGAGTCTCACCTTGACGGTGATGTTCGTGGTAAAAATTCATCTCTTTTCTTTTTAAAAACTTGTAAAATAGTGAGACATTATGAATCTTTGTTGGTATAGGTTTGATACTACCATCACTATAATATATTAGCTTCGTTTGGCTTATAATAGTAATTTTAATCATGAACTCTCTACAGACTTGAAAGATGAAGATGGTGATGATGCTGTGGAGGAAGTTGTGATTCATAGGAAGGGAAGAGCTTTAAGGAAAGATGATGATAATGGAAAGTCTAAGAAGAAATCAAGATTAGTTGTTGAGGTGAGATTCCACATGTTCGCTTTAAGTTGTGCATACGTACTGTGTCTTATATTTTGTATGTCTTATAGGTCGAGCAAGAAGATGGAGATACGAGGCAAATCCTGAAACTTTGAGATGATAGTGGAAGTGTTGATTTTTTTTAACTAGAGAATGCACAGTTTTAACGTCTTTGGTTTTTGAAGTTATTCTTGTAAAAGCAAATATGCTGAAATCATTTCTTTATTGAGTATGACACTGTTTCTACAATATCAAGTCTGAAAAGAAAAAGAATAATGGTTTGTTACAGACAATCACTGTTGTTCTTTGTAAATTAAAAATCAACACACACATTGATCAATATCAAATAGATTTTATCTGCACAAATGATTTTCATTTTTTTTGCCAATTACAACAATTTAAATGCCGGTGAATGTAATAAAAAAGGCAAGCTGTTGTAAGAAGAAATATAGATTGAAAAAGGGTAACGTAGGAGTAGGAGGATATGGATGATTAAAAATTGAAGCAGCCACATCGTTTTGCTTTTTTAGGGCGTTCGAACCATTGGTCCCATGTTGCATCCACTGGACCTATTGTTCTGCAAGAAGTCACCAAATCAGAACAAATCATTTCAATAGTCTATAGAAATGAAGGAAAGAGGCAAAAACAAAAGTTGAATTTACTGGGGAAGAAGAGGATCTGGTTTGCTGTCAACACTGTCTAAGAACCTGCATATCCATTCAAGAAAATGAGTCGAAGGTTATGGAACGAGAGATTTATTCATGAACCGGATACTTAGATAATGCACTTACTCTTTGCAAGAAGCTGATGCATGGTCCATCTTTTCGAGCTGCTCCAGCTCTTCCTGAATATTATTAAAAACGGACACATTTGTAAACATTTTATTAAGAGAGAGGGAGAGAAGACAAGTACTTGATTTCACAATGTGTCCAAACAATTAGGTGGATAAGAGCTTAAACCCCCAAAAGGATCAAAGATATTACAAAACCTAAATCAAAGACTCTGCTTCTACATTACATTTACTAAAGTGAGATTGCTCATAAAAACTTTCGTCAAGGAGAGTGTTCCACACAACATTTCCTAAAGTGAGATTGCTCGTTAGCTAAAAGGCCTTTCTATCTACTATCTCTCAGCTAATAAAACCACATAAGCTTTGAAGGTATAAAACAAAGTCACCTTTCTTCACATCATATAAAACAAAATAGTACAAAGAATTTTAATAGCTTTAAATCAAGCCTTGTTTTTAATGTTTCTCAAAAGTACCATCCATTAAAAGAGCACAAAGACTGATCCAATAAGATAAATATCAACACCTTCAAACTTAATAATAATCAGTCAAAAAGGTTCATTTTAAATTTAGAAAGAAGAGATATACCTCTAAGAAGCGAGATTCTTGTTGGAGCCTATTGAGTTCGGCATGGATCCTGTGTTTGCCTCTTGTGTCAACCACCCGCCCGGAAAGCTGACCCGACGAATTTGAGCTACCCACTTCCATCAAATTGGAGCTACCAACAGTCTCCTCCATTGAACCCACCCAAAAACCAAAACTTTGATAGTAACAGAGAAGAGCGTCAAAATTTCTTTTTTCTCCAAAATGAGATGCGACTATTTTTTACTCAAAAAAATAGAAAAGATCCCATTGTTACGCATAAACATTGACAAAAAGCCACACCATTGTTACTACTGGTTTGACCCAAAATTACAAAGCTTGAGAAACAATCAGATCTCGAGAATTCCACAAAAGAGATACTACACCGAGAAAGAAAAAGTATATGGAATTCAACTTCAAGAGAAAAAAATAAAAATAAAAAATTCCAACTACTACTAGTAGTTAGGCGACTTCGAAAAGAGCTTTTCCGATGATCGAAAGGGTCCAAAGACTAACAATAAAGTTTTTGATATTTTTGAAAAAGAGGAAAGGCGACGGAAAGATGGAAGTTAGATTTCATATCATATATTCACGCGCTGATACGGTGTTTATGGGCTTGTTCGTGGCCCAATATAGTGTAAGTATTGATAACGTTTCCATTCTTTATGGTAAATTTTCAACAATTCAAATTTTTATATTTGTTTTGGATTCTTTGCATTTTTAAGTTAAATCTTTACCATTCGATTGAATTATTATAGGCTAGATTATTTTTCTTCAACTCTGTTTTTTTTTGGGTGCTTGTTTTAGATTTGAACAATTTGCTTTCCTTTAGCAATGGGCTAGCTTTCGTTTGACAAGCGCGTGTACCAAAAGCGCGTACGGGAAGGAGTAAACTGTAGGGTAACTGTGACAAGTTCTGGTCAACTTTGACCATGTACGCTGTTTCTGTGCAATATGCCAACCCTTCAATCTGAGTCGTTTACCCAAATAGATGGACCCACCCTAAACTCTGACTGCCACGTGATTGTCCCCACGTCTTCTTTGTCTTTCGCAAAAGTGTTGCCTTATGTTTGGAATGACCCAATAAGGGCTATAGCTTTTAACACTAGCCCATTTGAAGGTCCTACTTCAAGAGTTCCCAAAGAGACGAGGCTAAAGTGTGGAAGAATGTAAAAAATCAGCAAAAATGAACAACCCTCTTTGCATTTTCAGTTTATTTATGATTATCATTTTGTCATTGTTTCACTGTCTACATGTGTAAACATTTTATGTTTATGGGGTCTAAAGCCAGATGTAGGGGTGTCAAAATGGGTCAAATGGGTCAACCCAACCCAAAACCCAAATGGGTTGACTATTAATGAGTCATGGATCAAACCAACTCATTTAATAAATGGGTTGGGTTGACCCATTACCCATTAGATTAAATGGGTAATATGAGTTAATGGTTGACCCATCAACCCAACATCTTTGTCCAAACCTTAAATGGGCCTTTTGCAGAACCCAATTATTATAAATAGTGTTAAACAGGATTTTAGGTGGCGGGAAAATATGATTAAGCGATTTTGGCGGGAAAACATGATTTAACTAATTTGCGGAAAAACATGATTTTGCAGTTTTGGCGGGAAAACTTAAATTTTGCGGTTTTGTTGGAAAAACGTAATTTTGCGGTTTTGGCAGGAAAACGTGATTTTCGGTTTTGGCGGGAAAACATGATTTTGCGGTTTTGGCGGGAAAACATGATTTTGCGGTTTTGGCGGGAAAATGTAATTTTGCGGTTTTGGTGGGAAAACGTGATTTTGCGGTTTTGGCGGGAAAACGTGATTTTGCGGTTTTGGCGGGAAAACGTGATTTTGCACTTTTGGCGGGAAAACTTAATTTTGCGTTTTGGCAGAAAAACGTAATTTTGCGGTTTTGGCAGGAAAACGTGATTTTTCGGTTTTGGCGGGAAAACGTGATTTTGCGGTTTTGGCGGGAAAACATTATTTTGCGGTTTTGGTGGGAAAACGTGATTTTGCGGTTTTGACGGGAAAACGTGATTTTGCGGTTTTGGTAGGAAAACGTGATTTTGTGGTTTTGGCGGGAAAACATGATTTTTCGGTTTTGGCAGGAAAACGTGGTTTTGTGGTTTTGGCGGGAAAACATGATTTTTCAGTTTTGGCGGAAAAACGTAATTTTGTGGTTTTGGCGGGAAACGTGATTTTGCGGTTTTGACGGGAAAACGTGATTTTTCGGTTTTGGCGGGAAAACATGATTTTGTGGTTTTGGCGGGAAACGTGATTTTTCGGTTTTGGCAGGAAAACGTGGTGTTGTGATTTTGGCGGGAAAACATGATTTTCGGTTTTGGCGGAAAACGTAATTTTGTGGTTTTGGCGGGAAAACGTGATTTTGCTGTTTTGGCGGGAAAACGTCATTTTGTGGTTTTGGCGGGAAAACGTGATTTTGCGGTTTTGGCGGGAAAACATGATTTTCGGTTTTGGCGGGAAAACGTGATTTTGTGGTTTTGGGGGGAAAACGTGATTTTTCGATTCTGGCGGAAAAACGTAATTTTGTTGTTTTAGGAGGGAAAACGTGATTTTGTGATTTTGGCCGGAAAAGGTGATAGGTGAGTCTAACTGGACAATTTTAATTTGGAGTTAATGGGTTGTTTTTAATATTTGTTTTTACTTAAAAACTTAATGGGTGAGGGTCGACCCAACCCAATTGACCCATTAACTTGTTAATCCATTAACTTGTTAACCCATTAACCTGTTAACCCATTAACCTATTAACCCATTAATCCATTGGGTCAAAAATAAACAATTCATTTGGGTTAATAGGTCAATTTGAGTTGGGTCAACCCATGGGTCATGACCCATTTTAACACCCCTAGCCAGATGTGTCTTTACATGATATGTCTCAAGCACTCAAGTGGTTATGGTTATGGGCTTATATATGGCATATACATGAGGTTTGATTCTTTTAAAATTTGCAACACTTTGATCATATTTGCATGGAAATATCCAGATGCATCTAAATTATTTATTATTGGTGTTATTTTCTTTGGGTGGTTAGTTTTAAAGGAATCGCATTTGTGATGTTTTAAAAACCTTTATTTTTTTTTTTATTTTTTTTTAAATAATAATATATATATAAATTCAACCCGGGATTCGGGAAACATAGATCCTCCGGTTACAAATAGGTTTTGAACAAAATTTCCAAAGTTTAACTAATACAAAACTAGCTTCGCCAACCCACTAAACTTTAAAAACCTTTATCTTTATAGATACGTTTCTAAATATGCTGTGTTCGTTTTTTTGGACTACTTGCAGGTTGCTCTGATTTGCACCAAACTTTGGATACAAGAAGAGCACCCATGTGCCTTCTTGAAGCCTTGAACGGCAATCTAACAACGATTTTTGTTAAAAAGGCTACGTAAGAGATGTTATGAGTTCTGATACACACAGCTCAAGGCTCTCACTTTTGATATAAATCAGTAATTCTGGAATGATCTATCTATCAAGTAAAGAATTTTTAATGGAACAATTGTTTTCTTTTTTTACAATTAATGGATGGAAGAAATAAACAGAAAGTCATTAAAGCTAGCATGAGCTTGGGATTGTAGTCACACATGACAACACATGACCCGACTTTCTTTCGAATTCGGATATCGATTATCATTAAAGCTAGTAGAGTCGTGTCGTGTGCAGCAACAGCAACGAGAAGTGAACTAAAAGTTTTTTTTATGAAAGTTGGTCGTATTACCATAAGGTTATGAATGTAAGGGCATAATAAATGTAGATTTTCCGCTCATGCAGTTTTTCTGCACTGTTTTTACCATTCACTTTTTTATGTTTCTAAAAGCAGTTTAAACGGGAGATCTGCATGCAATTCAATATTTTCTATTATTTGGTAAAAAAATAGGAAATCTGGATGCGGATCTCAGCCGCTAGCATTTGAAGAGGTTGATATCTCTTTTTCACTAATAAATAATTTTGCTATAAACACTAACTTTAAATATATTTATATAATTTTATAAATAACTAGAGTCGGTCCGCGCTTCGCGCGGAATGTTGTGTATGTTCTTATGTCAAGTAACTATTTGCCTGAGGTTAAAGGTCAAATTACATTTCTATGTATGATACAATATGCTGTGGAACAGTTTTGCTATATAAGTTTATCTTGGCTCGAGTGTTATAATACAAAAAAATTCATGCTAATGATCAGTATCTAAAGACTCTACCTTTAGTCTCTTAACCTTTGAAGCATTCAAATCCTTTTGAGTATGTTAAGCTTTGTTCACAACATTACAAATATTGACTAAAATCCCAAATAATGTACCAACGTAGCTCAGCTGGTTTAAAATGTTCCTTCTCCAAAATCTAGCAAAAAAAACATTACAAATATTGACCACTTTAATTCGGGTGTAAGTTCATGCAGAAAAAGATAAGTCAGTATTATAACTTTAAAAAAAAAAAAAACATCTAAACTACTTTTTCTTTTTGGTAAAAATGTAAAGAGAATCTAAAGACATCTAAATTATGTTTAAAAAAACTAACAATTTAAGGAGAGTTAACTGAATCATTCAGCATGGGAGAAACAATACTTCTTTAGTTACAATACATAAAAACTTTCTCATGGAAATCCAAATAGTTTGAAGGTTTAACATGTCGTTCTCAGCAACCTTTAATACATGCTATATTTACTCATCATCTAAATAAACACACATAAAAGATGAGAGAAGTCAAGCAAAATCATACCAAGTGTTTTGCTTTTATAACCTGAGCCTTAGCCTTCTTATCAGCTTCCTCATCAACCTAGTATACTCTGTCTCTTTCCTCTACAAATTCTCAAACAATTCAAATTGTTCTTTCTCTGATACATCTAAACATGTTATCTTTTGTTTTAACACCAAACGCCTGTAGCTCAAAAGGAAAAGAAAAAAACCAATTCATTTGACAATTTATTATTTTACAGAGAAAACATTACAACTCCTAAAACAACACCATTAAAACAACAAATGCTCATAAAATTCTGCAAAACACCACTTTACTATTCTCTCAGCAACATCAACAAATAAATGATATGTCGAATGACCTTTTCTTTACGATGTTGGTTGTGTCTCATGCCATATATTTGCTGTAATGGTCCTCAAAATAATTCTTACTTGCAGCAAATTTCTCCACAGCTTTTGACATCAGAGATAACTTTATCTTCTCCACCACCTCCTCCACATGATCTGTTTCCTTTTTATCTCCAAAGAACATAAAAATTGTTTATTTTTCTCCTCCATTGGATGATTTGGATCCATTCTTGTTACCGTTCCACCGTGATGTCCTTTAAGAGTGAAGCGGCCGTGGAGATGCCTAAACTGATTTCGGTGATGGCCGCCGCTTGAACAGACGGGCGAATCAATGAAATGGAGAAGCTCCACTTCTTGTGTCAGTGGAAAGCTGGAAGCTTAAGCAAAGACGTGAAACCACTATCGTCGTTCTCAGGAGTTAGCTTCATTAGTTTCCAAAACGCTCTGCCGCCACCAAGATCCTGTAACAGCGCAATGCTCCGGTCAGATCCATAAACGGTAACAATTCTGACAAACAACACCTGGAATTTAGAATCTTAGAGGAAATCTCAAATCTTAAAGGAGGAAGCATAACTTTTTATACTCGTAGACTCATTGCCTCTCAGAAGATGACGACATACTGATGTAGAGATTATGGCTTAAGGAGTTAAGAACATGATTAATGCGGTGGATCCGTAATTGGTGTAGTTTTGTTTGACGGAAAGAAAGCCAAATGATGTATTGGATTCACAGCGAAATGAAGCGACAGGCCGGCTTAATAAAATTTCTTTCCAAGACGGCGGTGAACGAAGGCTATGAGAAACCCTAATCTCTGATGGAATGAAAGTTGAGAGAAAGAGCTTTGTTCGTATGCGGGCTGGACAATTAACATAACAGAAGGCCCAATAAATAGATGAAGCCTGAATATGTTGGTCTTGCAAATAAATGAAACGCAGAGTATTGTAACTTGGACAGGTGTCACAATGAGGTTGAGTGAATTAGTGACGTGGAGGAGCCTTGAGGGAGAGAACTTTACTTTATATATATAGATGTACAAAAATTAACTCAAACTATATAGTTCACACTAATATTATCTGTGTCACTTTAAAATAATAAACATTACGTTCAATTGCCTACAAAACACAACATTTTCCAAAAAAAAAATATAAATTTTCCTACATAAAACGAATATTTTACTAAGCTATACAATATTTTTCAACAAAAAATACAAATATTTCTATATAAATATCAACAAAGAATTTAATATTAGTAACATGCTAGTTCTTCAAAGACTATTTTGATCAACTAAAACAGAAATAGAAGAAGTATAAACATCTTATGAAAAAATTCAGTGAACATTTCGGCTGATCTCACAACATTCAAAAGATATTTATTTTGATATTTTGGTATAATATTTTATTGTTTAAGTATATGATCTATAATTTTGAGTTGATTTTGTCATTCATAAAAAATAATAAATTGTTTGATCCACATCTCTCCTGTATCATGCGCTTGATCTGTATTTATTTTACCATTTAAGCCTAACTTGGACTGTTGTAAAGCTGAAGATTTTAACCAGAAAAACTACAAAAATAAAAGTAGATCCCCCAAACATTTTATGTTTATTGGGTAAAAATGTAATGAAATTTTGTTGGGACAAACACCAAAAATACACGAAACCAAATGTATTAGTACTACTTTATTTTGATTAACGGTTACGAAAATGCCACGTGTTCCCTCAGAGGTCGGCCACACGCACACCCAGAAAAAAGGAGGTCGGCCACAGAGAAGTACTTCCCTTCCTAAACACGTAAAAAATTACCACTTTACCACTCAAATCACGAGAAAGCAGAACCAATCGTTTCCATCACAAACAAGTGAACTTCAAAAAAGAGTGTGCAAGTGTTTATAAACCTCCTTCTTCTACTTACTTTCACAACACACCCCGCTAATTTCGAAACCTCGTAAACAAAACAAAAATGGCTTCACGTCTCGGCGTCTCCCTACGCGCCGCCTTAACCGCATCTCACGCCCCTCACCCCCACGACGGAAGACGACGTCACTCGCCCTCGATTTTCACGGCCCCATCTCCGAACCGAATCGGATTGAGGACACTTAGGGTTTCGAATGACGGACCCGAGTCGTACCTGGATATGTGGAAAAACGCAGTGGATCGGGAGAAGAAGGAGAAGGCCTTCGAGAAGATAGCAGAGAATGTTGTTGCTTCCGATGGCGGCGAGAAAGGGGAAGGAGATTTAGTCAAGAAGAAGAGCGATGATTTTCAGAAGATTCTGGAAGTTTCTGTGGAGGAGAGGGATCGGATTCAGCGGATGCAGGTCGTTGATCGTGCAGCCGCGGCTATCTCGGCCGCGAAAGCGATTCTTGCGTCTAATAATTCAGGTGACGGCAAAGATGGATTTCAAGATGAGGAGAAGAGTGGTGGGAGTGAAGTCGGCGAGACTCAGAACAATGCTAAATCCAAAGGTACTTTCTTCACTATCACTTGCTTGTTGTGTGTATAGTATTATGCTATGTTCAAGAAATGGCTAGGCGGTTGTTAGTTGTTTTATATGGGATTATTGGCCAGGCGGATGCCTAGACCGATTTTTTTTTTTAACTCCTAAACCGAGTTTTTCAAAAATCAGTTAAAAAAAAATCATTTCGTTTTAAGTCCGAGTTATCAGCTAGGCGTTCGATTTTTAGAACACAAATAGCCAATATGGTGAGAATGTGTGGTCTAATGTTGTAGCAGAGCCATTTAACTTGATAAGTATTGAGTTCTTTCAATCATTATTGTTGGAATTTAACCAGGGATGTGGAGCAGAACAATGGATTTTGATGAATTATCAAAAATTAAGACCAATGTGTGAATTATTATAACATTATTGCTTAATTTAATAGATTTATACCAATATAGATCGGTTTGAATCGATTCAGAACAGTTTAAACCGTATAAAACATGACTGATTTGCCGCCTAGACCAATTTTTAGAACCATGTATTAGTCAATGTGGTGAGAATGTGTGTTAGTGTTGTAGCAGAGCCACTTCACTTGTTGATAAGTAATTGAGTTCTTACAATCATTCTTTTAACCAGGGATGTGGAGCAGAACAGTGTATGTGCCTCGTTCAGAAACTTCTGGTTCCGAGACACCAGGACCTGACTTTTGGTCTTGGACACCTCCTCAAGGTAGTGAGATGAGTTCCAGTTCGAGTATGGACTTGCAAGCTAAGCCTGCCGAGTTTCCGACCTTGTCAAATCCTGTATTGGAGAAAGAACCTTCAGCTGATTCTCTCTCCATACCTTACGAGAGTATGCTTTCCACCGAAAGACATAGCTTTGTTATCCCGCCTTTTGAGTCTTTGATCGAGGTTAAAAAGGAGACAGAGACAGAGACTAAGCCCTTATCTTCGGAACATGACCTGGATGCCGTATCTTCAGCAAATGCGGAAGAAGTGGCTCGTGTTCTTGATGGTTTGGACGATTCTTCGTCCTCTGGAGTTAGCCAAGAGGGATTGAAGTGGTGGAAGCAAACGGGTGTTGAGAAAAGGCCTGATGGTGTGGTCTGCAGGTGGACGATGATACGTGGTGTGACTGCTGATGGTGTTGTCGAGTGGCAAGACAAGTATTGGGAGGCTTCTGATGAGTTTGGGTTTAAGGAACTTGGTTCTGAGAAATCAGGACGTGATGCCACTGGGAACGTCTGGCGCGAGTTCTGGAGAGAGGCAATGATGCAAGTCAGTGAAACTGAGCTCTACTTTTACATATAGTGTAAGATTATTTTGGAGATTTTATATTGAACTGTGTATTACAGGAGAATGGTGTTGTGCATATGGAGAAAACAGCAGACAAATGGGGAAAGAGTGGACAAGGCGATGAATGGCAAGAGAAGTGGTTTGAGCATTATGATGCTACCGGAAAATCAGAAAAATGGGCTCATAAATGGTGCAGCCTTGACCGTAACACACCACTTGATGTTGGCCACGCTCATGTCTGGCATGAGAGGTACGATATTCTCAAACTCCTTTAACACAAGAAGTCAAATGTTTCTAAATCTGTTTTGATTGGTTTCGAAACATCAGGTGGGGAGAGAAGTATGACGGGCAAGGCGGAAGCACAAAGTACACAGACAAGTGGGCGGAGAGGTGGGTAGGGGATGGTTGGGATAAATGGGGAGACAAATGGGACGAGAATTTTAACCCGAGCGCTCAAGGAGTGAAGCAAGGTGAGACTTGGTGGGAAGGGAAGCATGGTGACCGATGGAACAGGAGTTGGGGTGAAGGACATAACGGTTCGGGTTGGGTACACAAATACGGGAAAAGCAGTAGTGGAGAACATTGGGACACACATGTTCAACAAGAGACATGGTATGAGAGGTTCCCTCACTTTGGCTTCTTCCACTGTTTTGACAACTCTGTTCAGCTCCGAGCTGTACGGAAGCCTTCTGATATAGTAAATGATGGAGAAAAGCAATAAATAAATAGCATTTGGTACATTGAGAACTACTTCTCTCTGATGATTTACTAGTTGCCTTTGGGTTTAATAGGTGTTCCCTAAGGTTAAGTGGGGTAAGATAGTGTTATATAAATGTTGTCAAAAATGTAGTGTTGTATAAAAAAATTATTGATTAACTCGTCATTTTCTTTTTGTAACACTACTCGTCATTTTCTTTATCTTTTTTTTTGGGTTAAAACTTAAAATCTCTCTTAAATGTAGTGTTGAAATCTTTGTTTATCTATTTTTCTGTTTGTTTGTTTGAGGTTTTTTCTTCTATCATATTTGCCATTTCTATTCTTTTCTTTCTTTTTTTGGTCAAATATTTGCCATTTCTATTCATCAACTGATAACGTGTGATATAGATATTCGATCCAAAGATTGATGAGGCAGCAGTTTTGAAGAGATATTTCGGCCTTTTCATAAGAAAATTAATTAACAAAGAAAATGTAGCATACAATGTTTTGATTCATTGGTATATAAAGTTACCGCCAAAAAGAAATATTGTATGGTTTTTCTTTTTCTACACCTTTCATCTTTTAATTATAAACATGATAAAAAAATAGAGTTAATTTTTAGGGGTTATTTGTGTAGTAATCAGAAAAAAAAAATTAGTTTTTGAGAAAGAGTAGAGAGAGATAGGAAGAGAAAAAAAAGAGTGTGATTTTAGGTAGTGGGTAAATTTTAGTTTTTTTAGTGTTAGTGTGACATATCTCCCTAATTTGTTTGTCTAGAACAATCAAAGTTTGAGGATATCTTTCTCTTGAGCTCGTGGCAATCGTCGACTTTTCCTCCTCTGCTCTGGTTCTTTATTGTCCTCCGTTATTTTGGATGCTCCTGCTCGAGCTTTAGGTCTTGTATTTAGCTGGTGTTTATTTCATTATTATACCTTTGCTACTAGTTTTCTTTTGTAATGTCTATCAAAAACATCATCATCATAATAATAATAATAATAATAATAATAATAATAATAATAATAATAATCTTTATATTTTATAAAAAAAGTTAATTTAAATGTTCAGACATTGAAAAAAAAAATTAGCTATTCAGTATAATACAACGTCAATTACTCACCAAACAGGAGAGGATCGCCTGAGTAATACTTTTTCTCTATGAATTCTCACTATAGTCTCTATATATTTGATATTTTAAAAATGGGTTTTTTGCCAAAACTAACCCACAACTTGGTTTTAACCCTAATACTAGACCCCAACTTGAATCAAATGCAAATCTAACCTAAAAGGGCTATGAAATTACAATATAGTCCTCTGTGACCAAACAAAAAAACAGAAGACATTTTTACGAATATAACCCCAGTAAGTTGTCTGAGTCGGGCTGAGTTACTTTTCAGTCGTCTGGACGACTGAAATGTTAGTCGTCTGGACGACTGAAATGTT